TCCCTTCCTCTCTAAAAAATCAATAAAATATATATTTTTTTTAAAAATTAGAGCATTTTCAATTCACAAATATTTCTGTATTGAAAATGAGGCAAATATTCAAAGGAGGGAATTCTGATTTAGGCTAATATATATACATATATATATATATTTGTTAATCCTCACCCGAGGATATTTTTCCATTGATCTTTAGGGAGAGTGGAAGAGAGAGAGAGGGAAAGACAGAGAGAAACATCGATGTGAGAGAAACAAACACATTGATTGTTTGCCTCCTGCACGAGCCCCGACTAGGGCCCGGCCCGGGGAGAAGCCCGCAACCAAGGTACATGCCCGTGACCGGAATAGAACCCGGGACCCTTTGGTCTGCAGGCCGAGGCTCTATCCACTGAGCCAAACCGGCCAGGGCTATTTTTAATCAAACCAAGAACCCTGTCCCAAGACTGTCCTTCCACACACATCGCTGAAACTTCCTCCTCCTCCTCGGCTCCTGACACCCTCCCTCTGCTACACTCGCACAAAGCGGTCGTGCCTCCAGGCGTGCACCAAGCTTTTTCTTCCCCGCTTCCTTGTCATATCCGAGAAGCGACCTTCTTTAACAGCTAGACTAGCCAGTGACATCCGGCTGAAACAGTCTATCTGCATGTCTCTCTTCCAACTGGACTGTTAGCTTCGCTGGGGGGCCACGTAACAAGGCACAAGCAGCACAGGTGGGGAAAATGTGTTCATCTCCCCGTCTCAAATGAAGGATTCACCCCACGACGAAGACCGATTGAAGAAGGAGGACGGGAACCAAACGTGAGACGATGATCACAAGGCATACAAACACAGTAAGCAAAAAACACAACAACAACAAAAATAACAACAAACGCCGCGCACTTGCCTCCGCAGTAAAGGACCCGGAGCGGGTAGTCGGCATCTAACTTGGTGTTGCTCCTGGAGTCTCCTTTGCAGTCATGGCCCCCGGATTCGGCAATGTCAGCAGCCATCTCACAGACCTGTCAGCCGGGAAAAAGAACACACATCTGCACGACCGCGGGCCGCGACCCCGGGGCAGCCGTGCCGGGTGTGGTCCTGCCTCGTCCCCCACCAGGAATAACCCGAACCCCAAGTCCGTTTCATCTCCCTGCTGTCAAGTGGATGATGATGATACAAGCTGCCATTAGGATCCACAAAACGCGAGCCGCTCCGGGCACAGGGCACGCCGTCTTTATCAGGCCTACGGGGAAGCAAGCGCCTGGGGGGCAGAGGGCACTCGTCCGAGAGGAAAGAATGGGGGGAAGAACGGGCAGGGCAACTTCGGTGGAGACGGGGAGGGCAAAAGGTCTGGGGTGATTAGGAAGGGGTGCAACCCGCGGCAATAAAGGCCACCCAGCAGGTGGAAGAAAAGGCCCCACAAAGACGGGGTGGGTCCCCGGAGGTGCCCCGAGGGCAGGGTGTGGGGGCAGCTACACGCCAAGGGAGTCAGGAGCCGGGATGGGAGTGGGAGAGGGCGGGGAGACCAGAGTCTCGGGAGAGAAAACAGGGCAGGAGAGCCGAGGAGGCGCAGAAAGTAAGGAAACTGGGGTGACAAGGGCGGTCCAGGTGGGAGAGCGGGGACCGGGAGCCAAGGGGCTAATCTCGGGGACACCTGAGGGGCCCATGTGGGCGGGGATGTGGAGACGCCCGGCCCGGCCCGGCCCCTTCCGCCGGGCGGCAGCACCTTAGCTTCCCCCCCACAC